AGCTAAGAACAACAATTGTTGCGTAATTCGCAAAATGTTATTATTAAAGACTATTCCTAATATAAGAATTTCTGCTATCTCACAATAAAATGAATGGTGTTAATAAAATCTGTTCCTTTTAGAGTTTTCTGCTTCGAATTATTTGCATTTTTGATAGAGATATGTTTTGATTAAACAACTTTTTAAAATACAATAAGAAACAATAGATGCTCTTTTCATATTTTTACTTTTCGGACAATATAATTACAGTTAAAAAAAGAACATTTTAAATTGTAGATAATAATTGATTGCTTTACAGAAATATAATACATATTTTAAAGTGAGATGTACGACATTAGCGGTATATAAACGAAACTGCCGAGTTTTGTAGCAATTGGTCGAACGGCCTAAGCGTGCATAGCGAACAAACATTTAAACATTCTCATTTGTATATATAGATTAACGAAAAGGGTGTAAGTTAAAAGGCGAGTTACCTTCAGTTATTACATATCAGACTTTTGCCATAACAAACAGTTTTACTCAATAACATTTACAGAAGAGGAGGATATTCTTCATTATATTTATATAATTTCTATTATTCTAGTGATTTAAAATGTCAACTGTAATTTCGACTGTTTGGCTCACAGTTGGTAGTTTTAATGGAGAATTGTTTCCAGTGTTCTCTGCCTTATTGTACGTACAACACTATCAATAGATTATGAATGGAAATTTTTCAACTCTTGTTCTTGTTCCATCAACAGTGACTCTTACCTTAGTAAACATTTGAAAAATTTTACATCTCTTTCATTGAAGATATTTATTTGATACATTTTATTCGTACGTATCCAATGAAATACCTTGCACTTCTTCGTACTCGGTAATTTTAAATAACGACGAAATATTCACTCTCTTTTAGAAATGAAACTTCAATTAATACACTAAGGCAGGGGTGGACAAGCAAAAGTTCAGTGGGAGACGAAATGTAGGTTTTGCAAAATGCATGGGAGCCACAGTTCAGATTTTATTATATTATATAAATCTAAATATATAAAACTCAAAGGTGACTGACATAGTGATCTATCAACTCACAGCCCAAACCACTGGACGGATCGGGCTGAAATTTGGCATGCAGGTAGATGTTATGACGTAGGCATCCGCTAAGAAAGGATTTTGATCAATTCTACCCCCAAGGGGATAAAATAGGGGATGAATGTTTGTATGAAACTTTGTCAATTTTAAACCGATCGGGCTGAGACTTTGCATGCATAAAGCTACTATGACGTAGGCATCCCCTAAGAAAGGATTTTGATAAATTCCACCCCTAAGGGGATAAAATAGGGGATGAAAGTTTGTATAAATCTTCTTAGATTTTCGACTGATTGAACTGAAATTAAAGATTGGAGCTACTATGATGAAGACGTCCGCTTAAATAGGATTTTGATAAATTCAACCCCCATGGGGATAAAATAAGGGATGATGGAGGATGTAAATGTATTAGTTTGAACCTATCAGTACCTAATGGAACGAATAAATTAAGACGAACAAAATAATTTTTAGTTCTAAATGTTGACAATAGATGGCGTTAGTAGTATTTTAAAACGCGCTATCGTTGTGTTTTCACTGAGTTACATATACCCGATGATGAGTGGCCGCCGTATCTAATAGTACATACTATACCTAAATATTTCTAGCGGATTATATTTGACGATTTTGGCTGTTCTTTTCTTGGCATATTTTGGATTGCATTTGCTTTGTTTCGGTTTAGTAGTTTTGGTTATAGACTCTGCTTTGTATTTGGCATTTGTTTTGTTTTCGTTTGGTTTAAGTATAGGTTTTGTCGGTTAGACTTTTTTAAAATGGCTAAAGAAAATCTGAACGTTAATGGAGAAGTTGAAGAATGTACTGTCGTCCCTATTGTTGGTGACGGTGCATGTTTGTTTCGTGCTCTCTCTTATTTAATGTACGGAACACAAGATACAGCGATGGAGTTTTATGTTGCTTGCTCACGAGTAAGTTCACCCAATAGCTTGATAGTTTTAGCGCCTAATGACAGATTAGTTAAGAATATTGTGTACAAAGAAGTTTTATAGGCCCTAATTTTTTACACACGCTAAACAAAAGTAAAGCCGCAAAAACTATACCTAATTAATAATAATACTTCTTAACGCGAGCAAAGCCGCGGGCAAAAGCAAGTATAATATAAAACAAATATTGAATTTTTTTAATAAACATATTTTCACTAAATTGTGGAAGTAAAATTGCAAAAATAATAATAATAAGCAGAAATTATCACTTTCAGCAAGAACCGCGTGAAACTCAAAAAGAGCCGCATTTGCTTGTGTCTGCACTAAACTATGCAGAATTTTTAAGAAAGTAATACATTAAGGTAACGAAAGTAATACAATTAGATATTAAATCTCCCTATATTGATTGATTTCATATAGACTTAATTCTAAACAAGCATGATTTGATGTTATACTTCTATAAGATTCTTATAATCATTATATCACTATTACTCCCCGAGGAAACAGAAAAATTCCTCACACAAATCACAACTGAAAAACTTAAATACGAACAAGTTCTGTATGATTCTGTAATGTATTTTAATGCCTTTTCAATTTTTTTTACAAATACAAACTACTTTTACAATAATAATGGCATTTGCATACCGTAAGATACAACATATTTAAACTACACTCATTAATTTACAAAGGGAAAGTGACATTCGTACGTACAACTTTTATTCATTTACAAAAGTATAATTCAATGACTAAGGCACACTGTATTAATATTTAACAGATAATAAACACATTTTAATTTTTATTTCACAAATTAATTTTTTCGCTTTCGATAAATGTTATTACCATTCAAAAGTTTAATAACCGTCTTCTGTTATATCATCTAAAAAACGTTTAATCTATGCAGCACATTCTATTCTTGTTCAAGTTTGCACTCATTAAATATATTTTTATATTTCAAATTGTGTTTAAATTTCTCTTTCGTGTTGTAACAAATTGCTCACAGAATAAATTATAATCACTAAAAATAAATAAAACAAAACTACTTGGAGTAGTCTGAAATGTAAAATAAGTGTTTTATTTATTTTTAGTGATTATAATTAAATAATGCTACGAAAATTTACAGCAAATTCTACTGATACTTGAATTAAGATAATCCGTATTTGAAAATTTAACTGTGGTGTAGTAAAAAGACATATCAAATGTAACTGCTTTATTAAGAATTATGAAATCAAATTAGGAAAATCAATAGATATCAATAAACACTTATACATTATGATATACTACTTCATGCCTTTCTGGCACCATATTATTGCGCATAATAAATTCTTACTTTGGAAAGTTGAATCTTCAATTGGTTTTATTTTAATTGTAAGCCGAGGTTGTCCTTAGTCCGCATAAAACCATTTATTATTATTTTTACTAAAGATTTGGCATTTTGAAATAAACATTTTAGTGTTAGTAACATTCTTATATCAACAAATCATTACATAATTGGACACAATTATTTTAAATTTAAAATATGTAATACAGTAGAGCGTCGTTTATCCGAAAGTCGTTTATCCGAAACGTCAGTTATCCGAAAGAATTCCAGTCGGCAAATATAAATTTTCGCTAGTGCTGCGGCGCTGCAATCTTTAGCTATATCTTGGGCTACTCCAATATTTTTTTTTTGTTGGTGTGTGTGTTTTAGCTGGCAGCACTGGCACTTTTGTGTGGTGTTTTTCTGAGGACTGTGTGTGGTGCCGAATCGAACCTTTTTGATACTAGATCAACTTCTAAAGTATATATTTTTTTATTGTTTTTATATTTTTCAATATATTTATTTTGTTTGTACAAAATAAAGAAATAATTTTTAACGATACAATAGCCACGATTATTTTTTTAAAAAGTTTACGTTAGGCTTAACATCGACGAAAATTCAACGCGAAGCGACACGCAACGGGTGAAAAATTTCAACACGGGATAGGTTAATATATTTTTTCGTACATAATCGGTTATCCGAAAAATAAGTTATCCGAACAACCCCACTCCAAATTGATTCGGATAAACGACGCTCTACTGTAATAGAAAACAATCGATTGTGTCTTCTTTCCTAAACGATATTCAGCATATCACTGTTAGATACATTAATTTCAACCATTTTGGCTAATACATTTTTATTTACAAGAAAGAATTCGGTTAAAATAAATGCATTAGAATGGAGTTTTACGAATAATATTTTATATAATCAAATGACTGTTGACAAATCCTAATTCACAACAGTGCATTTTAAAATTAAATTATATTACAGTCTATTTCACATTATTCATCATAGATCATTACATTATTAATTTAAAAAATAACTTTTATATTATTAAGAAAAATAAAATTGTATTTTAGGCCATCTGTTCCGAAATTTTGTTATAATAGTTTTAATTATAATAAAATGGCGAAAAGCTTAATTTTTAGAGTAGGGAATAGTTTTTAAGAAAAGTGTAGTTAAGTTCTACTCCTGTCGAAATATGACATATGACACTCCATTATCTTTTCACTCTCTTGACCATAATTAACAACCAAAATTTAATAGCATCGATGTTCCTCATATACAAGCCACCGTGCCGAATTTCGTTTCTTTATGCTGAGATATTCAGCAAAATGGACTTCAACGTACACGCACCTACGTACATGTCAACGTAATTTTGTTTTGTTTTCTGACATTTATTTGGATTTAGGAGGTCACAAAACGTGGCGGTTTGCAAAGAACTCAAAGGGACAAATTTGACAAGATTCCAATACTTTCCCCGTTAGAATAAGAAACATCTATTGTTTCTTATTCTATTTTAAACAATTGTTTAATCAAAACATATCTCCATCAAAAATGCAAATGATTCAAAGCAGAAAACTCTGAACGGAACAGATTTAATAACACCACTCATTTTCTTATTGCTAATAAACGTTTAAATTTTGTGTTTTTTAATTATAAATTTAAAATGCGTAATAACAGCAAACAATCGATTGTGTCTTTCATCTTTAACGCTATTCAATACATTACTGTTCGATACATTAATTTCAACCATTTTGGCCAATACATTTCTATGACAACAGAGAATTCTGTTAAAAAAAAAATTATGAATGCGATATTACAGACTTTTACGATCAACATTTTAAATAGTGAAATGTCTTTTGATGAATTATAATTCACGACGTTTTATGTTAAAATTAAATTATTTCACTCTATTTCAAATTTTCATCACAGATTATTAAATCATACAATCATTACCTGTCTTTGAGTAGTATTCATCTATACATCTACGTGCATATTAATGTGTCCTTTTATCAGTTTCTCGCTCAATTTTCGAGTGCCGATCTTAGAATTAAGATTTATTACTCATCGCGGCATCCTCATTTACTACATCGCGTAAATCTTTATTAAATGACGAATGATCACAAGAGTAAAACTAAATATCGGACCTTTATAGCAATTTACTTGTGAATTATAATAAATTTTAGTGATTGCGACGTGGAAATTTAACAAATAATTGTCATTTAGAGTCGTCTTTCAAACTGAAAATCTTCTGTATTTATTAAGTTTTATGTTTCGAAGCTTTTTTTATATTTAAAAGACCAGAAAACACGGGGTGTAGAGAACTTCCCATCTGAAATGTTTTAATGAGGGATTCAATTTAAGTTATAAAACACACATTACTTTATTTTCCAAAAAATATTACCTTTATTGGAAACTTTTTTGTAATCTTAAAGTAATTTCTGCATGACAGACACAGGGATTCTTTACCGAATCTTTTCATAAAATTCAAAATCTGAAAAGTTATTAATATTTATTATTGTATTATAATTACTCGAAAACTTAATAAACGATTTACTACATTATATATAGGTAAATATATCAAACCTTTAATTTCTGTTCCAATCTGAGGTCGCAGTCAGCAAATCTTCGGATGTCTTGAAATAACGTTTGCATCTGAAAAAACAATTATAACGCATTAAAAAAATCTGCAAATTTAATAAATTTTGGAATTTTGGATAAAGATACATTACAGCAGACGTGAAGGCGGATAACAAAAATCCGATTAAAATACAGACAAAAGTAAGAGTAGCGCACAGTAATGAAAAGAAAACTTTCAGCTCGAACTTTACTTCAGAAAAATTGAAAATGAAGTACATTAGACTGGTTTCCATTAACAAAGTACCGTACATTATTGTGAATACGTAATTAAACGGTCCGTTGAGTTGATTGGTAAAATTCCAAAGTTCGTCGTGTTGCGTTATAATCTCATTCAGTTCAGATTTCAAATTTGGAATGTTCTTTCTCGTCAGATAGAAATTCTCTGAGAGTTTTTCGAATGCTTTCATTACAATAAAGTGAAACAGAACGAGGAACGAAAAGATGTATGCTGACGCACCAACGAGTAAAATGCTAAAGATACCAACTGCAATGCAGCAGATAAATGGTTCGTATTTAAAAGATTTTCCTTTTTCTAAAGCAGGATAAAGTAAAAAAGCGATTATACATTGAAAGAATATCGTAAAAGTAACAGTTATAATCACTGCGAGAAGTCGTAGAGCATTGATATATGCATATAACTGACGTTTAGGAAAACGATACGACTTTTTAAATTGTATTTTCGGATTCAGTTTGACTCTTTTGACAATACTGAATGCTATAGCCACGGCCAAGGTAATAGTTGCACAGGCTACTCTGACAAACATGTCATATTGGATTGCCGAGTACCAGGAAAAGCAAGGAGTTACATCCGATACGTAAGGAATTGTCATACATAAAACAAGAAAAGAATTTATCCAATGAAGGCATTCAATAAATGAGATGTAAAAGTTAAAAGGAATGCGAAAGCGACCGTCAGTGTTTATTTTACGGGAGCAAGGAGTAAAAAATTCCCAGCCGTAGACCTTCGAAATTGCAGCAAATGAAGAGAGAAAACACCGCAGACATATTTCCTCTTTCTGATCATCAACCGCGGGACTTTCGCTCGAGATGATTCTTATCATAATTTTTTAAGTTAATGAATTAAGCGATGGTAAAATAAAATATATAATTTAATTGAAAACAATCACTCGCAGTTATTATCTTCTTACGTAAAAGTAAATCCAATACTTCTGTGTAGAAAGCTGACTGAATTCTAGCTTTGAATTAAAATTTTACTGCGTAGTCACTTATATAAACGTTATATTAATTACTACCACTTGTATAAGTAATCGATAGGTAAAGTAAAATAATAATCTCATTTATGTAAGTGAAATGGAATTTTGATGCGATATTTCCAGAAACTCTTTGGAATTTTATTTATCGAATAAATTAATCAGAAAGATTCTATTATATAGTGAATGCACTATATAATAGAATGTTTGTATATTCGATAGGTAAACATTAATTAATTGTCATGCATGTTAACAAATTAAAATTCCAAAGATGGTTTCTGGAAATATCGATTCAAAATATCATTTCACTTACATAAAATATTTTACTTTATGTATCGATTACTTATATAAGTGGTACTAACTTGTAAGTGATATAAAACATTTATATAAATTTAAATATAATATTATATAAATATAAAGTTATATAAATATCACTTATATATAACGTAGCCACTTATATAAATGTTATATTTATATAAGTAATACGCAGTAAAATTTTAATTCAAACCTAGTATTCAGTCTGCTTTCTACACAGAAGTGTTCGATTTACTTTTACGTAAGAAGACAATAACTGCGAGTGATTCTTTTCAATTAAATTATATATAATTCAGTTACTTAAAAAATGATGATAAGCATTATGTCGAGCGAAAGTCCCGCGATTGATAATCACAAAGACGAAATATGTCTGAAGTGTTTTCTCTCATCATTTACTTCAATTTCCATGGTCTACGGATGGGAATTTTTTACTCCTTGCTCCTGTCACTTAAACACTGACGGTCGATTTTGCACACCTTTCGACTTTTACATCTCATTTATTGAATGCTTTTATTGGATGCATTCCATTCTTCTTCTATGTATGACAATTCCTTACGTATCGGACGCAACTCCTTGCTCTTCCTGGATCTCGGTATTCGATTATGACATATTCGTCAAAGTAGCAACAACGACTATTTCCTTCGCCGTGGCTGCAGTATTTAGTATTGTCAGAAGAGTCAAATTGAATCCTAAAATACAATTAAAATCGTCGTATAATTTTCCTCAACATCAGTTACGTGCTACTATCAATGCTCTACAATATCTCGCAGTAACTATAACCGTTACTTTTACGATATCTTTTCAATGTATAATCGCTTTTTTCTATTATCCTGCTTTAGAAAAAGGAAAGACCTTTAAATACGAACCATATATCTGCTGCATCGAACTTGGTATATGTGGCAATTTACTCGTTGGTGCTGTAGTATACTTCGTTTCGTTTGTCGTTTTGTTTTACTTTATTGTAATGAAGACATTCGAAAAAGTATCAGAAAATTTGTATCTGCTGAGAAAGAATATTCCAAATTTGAAATCCCAACTGAATGAAATTATAGCGCAACACGATGAACTTTGGAATTTTACTAATCAACTCAACGGACCATTCAATTACGTATTCGCGATAATGTACGGTACTTTGTTAATGGAAACGTGTCTAATGTACTTCGTTTTCAACTTTTCTAAACTGAAGTTCGAGCTGAAAATTTTCTTTTCATTGATGTGTGCTATTCTTACTTTTGTCTGTATTTTAATCGGATTCTCGTTATCTGTTTTCACATCTTCTGTAATGTATTTTTATCGAAAATTCCAAGATTTACTACATTTTCAGAGTTTTTAAAATTTGTTATATTTCTTTTTTTAGATGCAAACGTCTTTTCAAGACATCGGAAGATTTGCTGACTGCGATCTCGGATTGGAACAGAAATTAAAGGTTTGATATATTTAAAACGTATCTTTATGTAGTAAATCGTTTATTAAGTTTTCGAGTAATTATACTACAATAATAAATATTAATAACTTTTCAGATTTTGAATTTTATGAAAAGATTCGGTAAAGAATCCCTGTGTCTGTCATGCAGAAATTACTTTAAGATTACAAAAAAGTTTCCGATAAAGGTAATTTTTGAAAGAAAATTTAGTAATGTGGTTTATATAAGTAAAATTAAATTCGTCATTTAAACATTTCAGATGGCAAGTTCTCTACATTCCATATTTTCTGGTCTTTTAAATATAAAGAATGCTTCGAAACGTAAAACTTAATAATTCGAAAGAAGATTTTCGTTTTGAAAGACGACTCTAAATGACAATTATTTGTTAAACTGCCACGTCGCAATCATTAAAGTTTATTAAAGTTTACATCTGATTTCTTTTACACGTCCGATGTCGAGTTTTATTCTTCTCATCACCAGTCATTTAACAAAGATTCACGCATTGTAGTAAATTAGAAAATTCGCGCCGCGATGAATCGTTAATTAATTTTAAGATCGGCACCCGAAAAGTTAGTGAGAACCTCATAAATCTACACGTTAATATATGCACGTAGATTAATAGATGTATAATACTCCACGATAAAGACACGTAACGATTGTATGATTTAATAATGTAATGATCTATGATGAACAATGTGAAATAGACTGTATTTTAAAATTAAATTATTTCACGGACTGTTGAGAATTTTAATTCGTTAAGAGACTTTTGATTATATAAAATATTGATCGTAAGAGTCTGGAATACCGCATTTATAACAATAAATGCCAACAGAATTTCCGTTATAAATAGAAATGTATTAACCAAAACGGTCGAAATCAATGCATCGAATTGTATGTAATATGGCGAATATCGATCAGGAAAGAAGACACAATCGATTGCTTTCTGTCATTACGTATTTTAAATTTAAAGGGATTGTTTTGAATTATGTAATAACTTGTTAATTTATAATTACAAAACACAAAATGTAAACGTTTATAAGCGATAATAAAATGAATGGTGTTAATTAAATCTGTTCTTTTCAGAGTTTTCTGCTTCGAATCATTTGCATTTTTGATAGAGATATGTTTTGATTAAACAACTTTTTAAAATACAATAAAAAACAATACATGCTGTTTTCATATTTTTACTTTTCAGACAATATAATTACAGTTAAAAAAAAGAAAATTTTAAATTGTAGATAAAAGTTGATTGCTTTACAAAAATGTAATACATATTTCGGAGAGGGAGTACGACATTAGCGGTATATAAACGTAACTGCCGAGTTTTGTAGCAATTGATCTAACGACCTAGGCGTGCATAGCGAACATCAAACATTCTCATCTAAATATATAAAATTACTTGTTCTGACTGAATGACTGATTGATGATTGCCAAGAGCAAACCGCCGAACCTAAAGAGGTGAAATTTGGTACACAGTTAGGGTACGTCACGAACCCTAACTGTGTACCAGGGTACGTCACGAAAACGCGCGCTAAGAAAGGATTTTTTGAAATTTCTAGGCAAAGGGGAGAGGAAGAGGTTAAGTCTTAACCGGAAGAACAGCTTCTACTGTACTATTTTAGATGTGATTTTTTGTTTTCAACTATGTTTAGTCTTCATTGAGTACTTTGGAGTATTACATTGATAACATTTCAGACATTGTTATACAGTAAATATTTTTATCTATTTCGATATTTAAAATGTTCGAATCGTTTTAAATTGAAATTTGTTATTGTATACTGGTTCGATTATAGAACGATTGTAAACGTTTCAGAAAATTGATCAAATTCAAAATGGTTCGTTTGATTCTCGGCAATTCTCATCATTCTCGGAGGTAGGTGTTATATAACAATTACTATGGTTATTGAAATATTGAATATAAATAGGGTTTGCTTGCAAAATCCTTGCGGGCAAAGCCACGGGTAATTGCTAGCTTTAAGACATTAATACATTAAAGTAGCGAAAGTAATAAAATTACATATTAAATTTCCCTATATTGATTAATTTTATATAGACTTAATTCTAAACTAGCATGCTTTAATGTATGTGGTTTGTGTTATATTATNTTTTTTTAATAAACATATTTTCATTTTCATATTTGTGGAAGTAAAATTGCAAAAATAATAATGTAACTCAAAAAAGCCGCATTTGCCCATGTCTGAACTAAGGTATGCAAAACTTTTAAGAAAGTAATACAATTAGATATTAAATCTGTCAATATTCATTGATTTCATATAGACTTAATTCTAAACAAGCATGCTTTAATGTATGTGGTGTATGTGGTGTGTGTTCTGTTATATTTCTATAAGGTTCTTATAATCATTATATCACTATTACTCCCCGAAAAAACAAAAAATTTCCTTACAAAAATCACGACTGAAAAACTTAAATACGAACAAATTCTGTGATTCTGTAGTGAATTTTAATGCATTTTCAATTTTTTTTTACAAATACAAACTACTTTTACAATAATAATGGCATTTGCATACCGTAAGATACAACATATTTAAACTACACTCATTAATTTACAAAGGGAAAGTGACATTCGTACGTACAACTTTTATTCATTTACAAAAGTATAATTCAATGACTAAGGCACACTGTATTAATATTTAACAGATAATAAACACATTTTAATTCTTATTTCACAAATTAATTTCCTCGCTTTCAATAAATATTGGTACCATTCAAAAGTTTAATAACCGTCTTCTGTTATATCATCTAAAAAACGTTTAATCTATGCAGCACATTCTATTCTTGTTCAAGTTTGCACTCATTAAATATATTTTCATACGTCAAATTGTGTTTGAAGTTCTCTTTCGTGTTGTAACAAATTGCTCACAGAATAAATTATAATCACTAAAAATAAATAAAACAAAACTACTTGGAGTAGTCTGAAATGTAAAATAAGTGTTTTATTTATTTTTAGTGATTATAATTAAATAATGCTGCGAAAATTTACAGCAAATTATACTGATACTTGAATTAAGATATCAGTATTTGAAAATTTAACTGTGGTTTAGTAAAAAGACTTATTAAATGTAGCTGCGTTATTGGGAATTATGAAATTAAATTAGGAAAATCAATAGATAACTATATTAAATGCATAGAACGTTCAAACATTTATACATTATGATATACTACTTTATACATCTCTTGCATCATATTGTTGAGGATAATACAGTAAATGCTTACTTTGGAAAGTTGAATTTTCAATTGGTTTTATTTTAATTGTAAGCCGAAATTGTCCTGGATCGGCATAAAACCATTTATTATTATTTTTACTAAAGATTTGGCATTTTGAAGTAAACATTTTAGTGTTAGTAACATTCTTATATCAACAAATCATTACATAATTGGAAACAATTATTTTAAATTTTAAATATGTAATACGTAGAGCGTCGTTTATCCGAAACGTCAGTTATCCGAAAGAATTCCAGCCGGCAAATATAAATTTTCGCTAGTGCTGTGGCGCTGCAATCTTTAACTATATCTTGGGCTACTTTAATATTTTTTGTTGGTGTGTGTGTTTTTCTGAGGACTGTGTGTAGTGTTGAATCGAACCTTTTTGATACTAGATCAACTTCTAAAGTATACTTTTTTTGGTTTTTATATTTTATATTTTGGTTTTTAATTATATTTAAAGTATAATTATTTTTTGTTTTCAATATATTTATTTTGTTTGTACAAAATAAAGAAATAATTTTTAACGATATAATAGCCACGATTATTTTTTTAAAAAGTTTACGTCAGGCTTAACATCGACGAAAATTCAACGCGAAGCGACACGCAACGGGTGAAAAATTTCAACACGGGATAGGTTAATATATTTATTCGTACATAATCGGTTACCCGAAAAATAATTTATCCGAACAACCCCAGTCTCAATTGATTCGGATAAACGATGCTCTACTGTAATAGAAAACAATCGATTGTGTCTTCTTTCGTAAACGATATTCAGCATATCACTGTTAGATACATTGATTTCAACCATTTTGGCTAATACATTTTTATTTACAAGAAAGAATTCAATTGAAATAAATGCATTAAAATGGAGTTTTACGATTAATGTTTTATATAATCAAATGACTGTTGACAAATCCTAATTCACAACAGTGCATTTTAGAATTATTTTACAGTCTATTTCACATTATTCATCATAGATTATTACATTATTAATTTAAAAAATAACTTTTATATTATTAAGGAAAATAAAATTGTATTTTAGGCCATCTGTTCCGAAATTTTGTTATAATAGTTTTAATTATAATAAAATGGCGAAAAGCTTAATTTTTAGAATAGGGAATAGTTTTCAAGAAAAGTATAGTTAAGTTGTACTCCTTTCGAAATATCACATAAGACAATCCCTTATGTTTTCACCCTCTTGACCATAATTAAGAAAACAAAATTTAATAGCATCAAATACAACCTATCATGTCGAATTATGTTTCTTTATGCTGAGATATTAACCCACGGTTAGGCGCGCGGGGTTATATAGAACCCCCGAGGTCTAAAAACGCGTGTATTTTTTAAAATTTTTTTTGCTTAAAAATGATGCCCTCAGTACCTTCCTTCCATGGTGTGAAGATCGCACCGAAAAAATTTCAATTTTGCACGAAAAAAATTTTTTGCATAGACTTATAATGGAAATCAGTGGGGTGCTATAGTACCCCGCGCGCCTAACGGTGTAATTCATTTTCGCGCGACTAACGGAGGTGGGTCGATCTGACTTCGTGTTTTGAGGGAAAGCTTATTGGTTGATATAGAGTCAGTCATGATAGAAATGACCAATTAGAGCATAAAAGGCGTAAAAACAAAATTTTTAAAGCCAATAAACGGCAAAAAAGTTTCCCATAGACTTAACATTG